CTAGGTGTAGTTTTAGCTCACTTTATTTTAAACATTTATATTTGTTATATATTTTTATTATATGTTTAAAAAATTGTCTTTATTTCTCCATTTTTGTTTTATTTAAACAGCTCGTTAGGATTGACAAAAGCAAACGAGTCTGAAACATTTTGGTCACGCTAGAATTGAAATGCGCTATATGGTGCATGCAACTATAACAACCCCTACCAATTCATTCTTCGTTAGTATTACCAACTCATTGACAGCCCAGTTTTTCGTTCAATTTAGTTGGCTCTGATTGGAATTGGTTCAGTGACCAGATTGAAAATTTGTTAGGCCGGCAAACAAACAGCTGATTTTTTGGCCCGGCCTGCGGACCATTTATGGTTTCTGTGATTGGCAGGCACATGTTCGCGGCATATAAGCGCTTCATTATGCCAAAATGAGAAGTGTTTCGCCTTCGTTTCTTATCCAACAATAAAAGCCAGAGCCGTAGGAAATTATGCAAAAAACATAACAAACCAAAAAAAAAATGGAAAATCAGACAACAATACACCTTACGATTGCATCGATTGAAAATATCAAGTGAAAGTTGACAGCTATCTAAAGATATATATTTTTTGTTGTTCCTGAGGTGAGATTGGGTTGCATTTTGAAAAGGGTATCATTTTGGGTGTTCCAAGCAATTATGGTAATCGAATTATGGCCAAAGGGTATGGAACTTCAAGGAATAGGAAAGTTTTTGTGATCAATGGTTGAGGCAAATTCGATACAGTGTAATTTAATATATTACATGGATTTATTCGTACTTTCATTTTATAACCCAAAACAAGTGCAGAACTTAACAACTTAGGATCTTAATTTAATGGAAAAATTAAATGGCGTCTTTATCTTAATAGTTGCTTTTAAATAGAAACCTTTCCAATTGATTTCTTCTACACTTTTCATCTTTTCTGTTCCTTCAGAAAATCTTATCTCGCGTCACTTCAAGCTGAAAAATTCCTTGATTGAAATTCAGTTTTTTTCTTTGCGCAACCTTCACTTCGAGCCAAGTTGGCAAATACCATTTGAATGCATTTCATTTTGTTGGTCTAGTTGGTGGTGTTACAGTTTTGTTGTTGCTGATGTTGTGCAGCATAATTTTTACAACACAACGCCCACAACACTTTCTCGCATAGTTAAGCGAATTTATACAAAAACAGCAAACAAAAAATGCAAAAAATAAAAAATAAAAGAAAAACTGAAAACTGAAAAACGAAACACACAGAGCACAGAAAATGAAAGAAATATTTCTGTCTAGCATTATTTTGCAATTTCCCACATAATTATTAAGCGCCATTGCGAGAGGGAGACAGAAGAAAGGGGAGAGTGAAAGGGAGATAGGGAGAAGTAGAGCTGCGGCGAAATGAAAGCAAACAAAAGTTGCCGCCGACTTTTCAAACTCAGGTGCACTGAGAAAAAATTACAGATAATTTGATATTGAAAGGAAATCAATAAATATTTAAGATCCATAAAGATAAAGCTTTAAATATTTTTGAAAGTCGTTCATTATTTATACTTTTAAATAAGTTAAACGGACTATAAGACTCTACACTATAAAAAACATGGAATACTAGATTATATTTCAGATCACTAATGTTAGGAAACAGATAAACCAATTATTTTTTTTAGGACTAACTTTTTAATATGAATGTGATGGATCCTAAAAAACTAAGGATCCTAAACTAACTAAATTATTTCCCGTGCAGAGACAACAGATGAAACCGAGACCGGGCCCCAGGAGTATCTTCCTCCCCAACGAGACAGCACTGTACAGTAAATAATAATTTAATGCACGGCAAAAAGAGAGGAGACCGCAGACAAGCGGAGCAAAAAGATGCAGAAAAAATGCAAATATGATAATAACAATGTAAAAAAGCACAAAAGCATGCCAGCACGTCAAGTGAAAATTAAGAAAGAGTCTTTCGTTCATGCCGCACACAAAATACACAGATAAAAAACGTAGAGAAATGCACAAAGATACACACTCACACCAGAAGATAAAATGTTTTCTAACAACAGACCAAAGAGAACTGTCGACTGTTTGATGAAAATTATAGCCCCAGCAGTCAGTTGAGTTGGGGAAAAAATCAGAGCCAAAGGCAGAATGGTCTCAAAGAGACCTGATCCAAACCAGTAGACAAGGCCGGAAACAGGTGTCGTCTTTGGAGGTGAGAGAATCTAGGGAACCCTATACCAAGCCATGGAGTTCGGAACCCATAAATAAAGTCTTAAACATGCCCAACCATATAGGGCTAATATCCGTTGAGCAGGCATTACGGATATAGAACATTAAGACACATTCCTCTGCATCAAGGCTCTTTGTTACGCCCACTGGTTTTTTCCCACTGATGATTTCCCTGATAAACATAAGCGGATAGGTGATTTAATAGTTCGCTTGGATTGTATAGTCCACGATTTATAAAAGATCCAGAACTTTTTTCAGGCTTGTATTTTAAATGAGCTTAACTATTACTTATTTGTTGCTTTCTGAAACAACAGTTTTAAAGCTCTACAATGTTAGTCAATATTTTAAATACTTTCAGAACTAATGTTTAGAAAAATACTAAGTATTACAAAAAGATAACCCATTAAAAAAATGTAAAATAGCTTTTAGGTAACTTGTTAACATTTTAGGCACATGAAATTTGAGTTCTCACATCAATTTTAATTTTTTTAGGGAGTGGTTCTACCTATCACATATTCACCTATGCTGACTTCACTGGAATTCGGTAGCAAATACTTACTACCAGTACTTAGAAAAAAGCAAATCTTTAATCTCCCATCCCACTGATGTCACCAGGTGGTGATCTCATTTTAATACTCAGCCCAACCAAATGAGTCCCGAAAGAAGCTTATAGCTTATAGCATCATTATATTCATCCCATCACCCCCGACTTAACCATTCATTAGGGGATTTCATTACGCGGAGCTTGGGCAGCTGGACAAAGGTAAGTCGGGTAGAAGCCCCTTCAAGCTTCCAATTGAATGCCGATGAAGTTTGATCCCGGAGTTTCGACGAGAGGCACGTTTCCAACTGCCATAGGTAAATGAACTCTTTCCCCACCCCTTTTTTTTCACCTGGCGGATTCTTCTCCTAGACAAAAGGTAACGGTAACCGGGTCTTGAAAGAGGGAGGGAGAACGAGAGCTACGATTTTGCGGCTTCGCAAAAGTTCGTGAGAAAGCCAGGGAACAAACTGTAACAAAACTGATTACGACCAACATAATTTATGGCCAGCAAAAGCCCAGAAGAATTCTTTGTAGAACTGAGAAGAACAAAAAAATGAAGAGGGTAGAAAGGGAGAAGGGAAGCTTGGAGCACCCACTGATTGATTGATTGGCCTTCCAAGTTAATGCGATTCTTACTCTGGAAATTGTATACACGTATTTCTTTTTTGTACGCACACACTTTGGGTATTCAGTGTCAACACCAAAAAGGCAAGTTACCAGCGAAATAAATACCAAATTGAAATACACCGAAATGACGTCAAGAGCAAAGGTATATGAGGTAGAAAGACCAAACGAATGCAGTCAAAGGTGGTTGGATGGGTTTCGGGTTTCAGTGGTCAAAAGTGGTCTGGAAATGCCAGACGATGCTTTTGTTTCAGTTGAAAACATTTTAAGCACACACATTTCGAAAATAAATAATAAAAACCCCAGCGAACCGGCATTCTATGAAAAAGCAGGAAAACCTGTTTTTTTACAAATGGGTTGTAATAGCAAGTTAAGCGAAATAGGGGTGCAAAATTGGCTTTTTAGGGGAGTCATTTAAGGCAAAACAAAAACTTAGTATTTATTTATGATAGACTCTTGACCCGCCTGCAATTTGCAGCTTTTATGAACCAAAAGTAAACACTAATGATTGATTTTTGATCGCACTATCACACTAACAACACTTTGGTCCTTGTTTCATGACCAATTTTGGTAATTATTTTTCTCCTCGATCACGAAACGCGATCTAATCAAGATCACGAAGAACACGAAGAACGCGAAGAACGTGGAGCGAGCGGCATACATACGATCGCATTGAAAACCCGCCGCCAACTGAAGAGACAGCAAATAAATGCCGTTTTATCGACCAGATACCAGATACATTTGTATCCACAAGTTTACACTCTCGGAAACTCGCTCTTTGCCATACCATAAAACTCTTAGGGAGCAGCAAGTTTGGTTCGGTGGTCGATGAAAAGCCGGTTCGCGGCTTAAAACTTTGAGCATTCTACTTAGCAGTTCAGTTCTGAAGTTTGGCTCGAGAAATCCAAGTTTATTTTGTGGAGTGGAGATAGTTCTCGTTTATCTCTTAGGTTGGTTTAGTTCATGTTGCAGCAACATGCTCTGGATTGTAATTTAAGATTCTATTTGTTTTATAATTCTTTTAGCTACACTTTCATTTTGTTATTAAAGAATTTGTTGTGGACTTTAAAGAATTACTTATTATTTTCATAACAAAAATTAAAAACCAAAAAAACGCATAAAATGTTGTTATTTTTATGGTAAAAGTTATTTTAAATTTTTAAACTTTGTATCTTTTTTAAAGATTTCTTTATTATTTTTGATTATATTTTTTGATTTATTTGATTTATTTATATTTAAAAACCTGCAGCTTTTAAGCAGTTTTTAAAGCAGTGCAAGACAGACAAAAGTATAAAATGAAGCATACTTTTGGGGTTTCATTTTAACGTTAAGATATGTAGTGCTTTTAGGATTCATGGGAAAATTTGTAGAATTCCCATCTTCATTCGAAAAAAAACCTGTCACACTTTTATATTCATTCTCATATATGTTAAGTTTAGTATATTAATATATGGTTATGTATATATTATCATATATGGTTAAAAAAAGTAAAGTTTGAAATCTTAGTAAGAAACTATAGATAAATTTCTTCAGACCTCTGTAAACCCATTCCTATGAAAGTTTCAATAATTCCAATTTCCTTCCCCATAATTTCTATGTTTTATATAGTACATTTGAAATACTTACGCAGTTGAGTGTTTGCCAATAGCTTTGGAGATCCGTTCCCAGACCCAGAGGTCAATGGCCGGGAAGATGGGGCATTGCACACCAAACTCAAGTCGCTGTGCGAACTCTTGTGGCTGTCCTTGCTGTACGAGCGACCACTGTAAGTACAGACATTAATAAACCATTAGTTACGATTTCCAATTAATTACTCAACAATTCACTACTCAATAAGACGGCCAAATTGCGGCTTAAAGGAACATAAAATTAATTCAGTGAAATTATCCCCATTGCAATTGCTAACTTTTTTGGCTGGTCATTGTTTTTTCTCTTTTTCAACCAGCATTTCTCGTTGCCTTTCCAGCAATCTGAAAACTTTGCTACTTAAAAATTCAGAAAGCTGTGAAATTATTGCGAAAATTCTTCAAGCGTCGCTGAGCAATCACAAAACAGAAGCAGAAAAAAAGCAGGTGAAAATTGGAAAATCAATTGGAAAGACGCGTCAAATTTATTCACCGCCTCTTTCCGTTAAGTGGGTGAAATTTTCTTTTCGTCGCCGCTGTAAAACTATTTTTTCGCTTGCATTTTTTATGAACGACTTCCGCCGACAGCGCGCTAATTGAAAACTATACAAGAAAAAATGAAAAGAAAATGGAAAATTTCAGCAGGAAACCGCACAAGGCAAAAAAACGAGAGTGGCCAAAAGGAATTAGCTGTGCCAACTGCGTTTCCGCTAGCCAGCAACATAACTATAATTTTTTCGCTCATCCAGCAATTGCAAAAAAAACTTGTTTCCCTTTTGTCGCAGCAGCCAAAAGACATTTTTCATATTAATTTATGTACACTTTTTCCGGCGAGTGCAGCACAGCTTGGAAAATCATTAAATTAAATTTATTGGGGCAATTATCGCAATTAAAAGCAATTATTAAATAGTTTTTAATGCGTTCAAGCGCAGTCGAACGCATTATTTTAGCTCGTATCCAAACTAATGTACTAACATTAGGATATAGTATAATATTTCAGTTTATTGCAGTTATTAAATTTTAATTTAATACTCTAAAATAAGACTGCCAAATAAATTTATATTTATATTCAATATTATTAGTAACTATAAATATTAGCTTCAAAAAGATAGACTATGGCTTCCTGATTTAAATTCTTCGTCTATATTGGGATACTATTATATCATAAATTTAGCAAAAAATTTTTAATTAATTAATTGATTGCGCTTAAAATTAGCCTAGTTTAAGAAGGATACTTAAAACAAAATACGATTAGACTATGCAAGGGTTAAGAAATTCCATTCTCTTGAGAATACCCCAAAGATTTGTACAATAAAATCTTTTTTCAATATTATCAGTTAGCTTTTTCTTTTTTGTCAGTTTATTATAATAAAAAAAATATTTAAAAATTGTAAAATATAATCCACTCAAATGATGACCACTTGGACAACGCAGGATAGAAAAGTGATTCAGAACCCAGATATCAGCAGGGAGGATCCTTCGGGTGACGAAGGTTATACGGATACTGAGAGAGAGAACTTCGTGCTCAATTTGAGTGACTTGATCCTTCGGCTGAAGAACTTCCGTCGCAGCAAGCAGCAAAGACTTCCGCTCATCGAGGCGGAAGTGAGCAAACTTTGCAGCCTGGCACGTGAACATTTCCTCAATGAACCCATGTTACTGGATGTTTCGGCACCCGTTAGGGTCGTTGGCGACATACATGGCCAGTATATTGACCTCCTAAAGATCCTCGACCACTGTGGCTATCCGCCGAACACAAACTACCTATTTCTTGGGGATTACGTGGATAGGGGAAAGAATTCTGTGGAAACTATCACCATGCTTTTGGCCTTGCGGGTCAAGTATCCCAAGCATGTGCATCTATTACGGGGAAACCATGAATGCCAATCGGTTAATCGGGTGTATGGATTTTTCGATGAGTGTAAACGACGCTATACGGTGAAACTGTGGAAGACCTTTGTCGATTGCTACAATTGTATGCCAGTTGCAGCTACAATTTCACATCGCATTTTCTGCTGCCATGGCGGTTTGAGTCCCCAACTAAAGGATCTTAGCGATATCGACTCGCTCAGCCGTCCAACCGAAATCCCAGAGACAGGTCTGCTGTGCGACCTGCTGTGGAGTGATCCGGATCGCTATGGTTTCGGTTGGACGCCGAGCGATCGGGGTGTTAGCTACCTCTACGGACGCGATGTTCTGGAAAAGTTTCTCCAGAAGCACGATTTCGATCTGGTATGCCGGGCCCATCAGGTCGTCGAGGATGGTTATGAGTTCTTTGCCAAACGGCAGTTGGTCACAGTCTTCTCGGCCCCGAACTACTGTGGGATGTACGACAATGCTGGGGCTTCGATGGGCGTTGACAAGGATCTGGTTATATCTTTTGATGTACAGCGGCCCGATAATCGAAAAGCCGTTCTGAGGAAGGTGAGCATTTCACCAGCGAATTGAGAAAAACCAGGAAAAAAGGCTGTACAATTTTACATAAGCGGACAAACGACTGTTATGTAACATATCGCGCGAATTCTGTAGATCGCAGCACCTGCTGATTTACAGAATGCAAAAATGTTACTATTCCCAGCCTATTAAATAAAGTACCCAGACTACATAATATTTCCCATATTTACCCAAACTTTTTTAGTACCACCAAGCTCTTATATCAATTTAATAAAGGAAAGTACCCTTTTAAAGGTATACAAATTATAAAAACCATTATTCCTCCCATTTTTATTTTTGTTTAGCCCTCCTTAACTTAAAAACAAATATTTACCCTGCCAACAAGCTGAGTGCAAGTCAACTTTCCCACCTCCTAAATCAACATTACTTCAGAATATTTAATTTTTTTGTCGGCAAAAGCCAACACAAATCAATTTCTCTGCGAAAACTATGCCAAGTCATTCGGAGTTTTTGCAACGAACATTGTTGTTTGCCGGCAAGCCCAGCTACCGTTTGGCAATACATTATTTTCACTGCCAAGGTTTGCTTTCTGTGTCACCCGTGTTGGCCATCTAAGGCGCCGCCTAGGCCATTGCAAAAAAAATAGTATAAAAAAAGTGCCAAGCCCCGAAGAAAAGCGAACATTTCCGCCAGAAAATAGTTAAGTAAAAAAAAAAACGAATTCATCGATACAGGTAACAAGTGCGAGTTATAAATGTGGAGTTTTAAGGCATTACTTTGGGGGAGGAAAGTCAGCGACTGACCGGTAAATAGATTTAATTATGCAAAACGTAAAACGAAACCATCGACACGCTGAAAAAATCGCTGAAGCGTTAAACATTGGCGGAAATCGAGTGAGAGAATCGATTGAACAGAAAGAGAAAGATAGATAGGGGGTCTACTATTCAGATTAATCGCCTTATAAACAAATTGTAAATTTTAAATAGCCCAACGAACCGAACCAAACCAAACCGATGGGGCTGAGTCTTCGCCTTAATCCCGTGACGTTGTTATAAATATTTATTATATCATCCCCATTCCAACCTCAGACAAAGTGCAAAAACGACCGACTGAACTGAGGAGCTGTTGCAACTGCGATGGTTCGTAATTAAAATGCATTATTAATGAAATGCAAATGTCGAGACATTAATGAAAACGAGAGGGGAGACGACTAAACAATTTAAGCACTTGCGGAAGCACGTATACTCTGGATAAGGAAAATTCCTTCACCTTATCTAGTGTCTATTATGAAATATATACGGAAATATATATCTTGAAACGATGAGTTCCAATACCTGAATACTTTAGTTCAGGAAATTCTTTTGAAGATAAATATAGTATTTTAAAAAATATATTATTATCTAAAAGAAACAAAATCAGAATCAAAGGTTCTGATTTATAATCACATTCTTTTAATAATTAATATTATTTAATATTTTAAAAAAACTCGACCAAAGGAATTGTATAATCTTTGAGACTCCCTCTTCGGATATACCCCTCGCCGCACAGGTAACCCAAAGTGCAATGACAGTCCTAGTAAATCCCCTATGCCATGAGGGGATGGCACCCACAAAATCCCACCCTAAGTTTCCACCTGTCGTGCGATTTACCGAGCCGAACCCTCACCTACGATGAATCTCATTTGTCAACGCTTCGGGTAGGAAAATCACGCTTACCCTTTCACCGATGTTGCCACCACTTTGACGGCAACTTTCTGGATGGGACGATGGTATTTCACAGAGTCCCCAACACCGCCAGCCATCAGGGTCATTAGGGCCAGCATTTCTCTTCTTTTCCCGGGTTTTTCAGAGTGATGGTTTCGTGTGGGTCTCAAATAAATGTATTGTTTAATAATATTTTACGCGATTTTTGAAAAAAGAGTTTTATAGAAATATATAATGTTTTTTTTATCAGTTATCTGACTGCAGAAGCAAAGATAACCTTTGAAATTTATTTGCCCGTTCTTTAAAAATATGTATCTACCTATTAGTATCTTATTTCTTTTAGGTTGTATTAAGAACCAGATTTACATAGTTAATGTTTGTATTGTTATGTTAGGTATGTTTAGAATTCAAAAATTCAAATCTTAGTTCCACAATTTCTTTTTTCATCACCTGAGTTGGGTGTTTATTGCACAATTCCCTCAGCATTTCAGTCCCCATCTCCCTGTAACACTTGTAAATGTTCACTTTTACAAGCTGACAATTAATACCATTTTTTTTTTGTGAATAGATGCCACCGGCTGCATTTTAATTGCCACAACAAGGACAAAGGCAGCATTAAAAGCCATGACAAAATCCATAAAAATTCTGACAACTGAGCTACCATTTTCCCTGGTTTATTTTTTACTTTTGATGGCACTTGGCCAGGTTTACCAATTGATCTTTGCCCTTTGGCATGGTAAAATGCAAAGGCGAAGAGAAATTTGCTGGGGCAATTAAGCGACTTCCTCGCTTTGGCAGCCAAAGGCGACTTGGAATTGCAGTTTCCTCAATAATTCGTCGTTATTGCTGTGGCACCCATCCATCTGTCCAGTTGCATATATTTATTATGCAACCGTTGCCATCTCCCTCGATTCCAGTCGGAGCAGAAACAATTCGTACTCTTAATGAGCTTCCATTAAACTTAATTGCAGTCGGAGTTCTGTTTGCCGACTGCTTTGTTTGCGAAATCCACATGGAGGTTGGCAGTGGGAGATCCGAGTG